AGTTTAAATTCTCATTTTTCATGATGATATCCTACCACATAGTACCGGCCACATCCACCAATTTAATATTCAATAACAATATTATTGCTTAACAATTTCGATATCTCTTCAAGAAATTTGTTTAAAAAACTCTGACACTTGTGCAAAATATCTTCCTCTTTAAATCAGATCAGCTACCAACAACCATGTTCTCCTCAGATATGCGATCCGCTAAGGTGATGTGCCCCCATCCCCCCGTTCACCATATGCATCGCCGCCGCGCTGTTCCCCGACTGAAAATACATATAGTAGTTATAGTTCTGGGTGGCACAGTCCACTCCGGGGGGTGAAGGCCCCGGCGGCGGAGGGTTTCCGTGGGGTCCGCGAAACGCGGCCGCGTGAACCCCCGCCAAAATGTCCGTCACCGAATGAGAGCTCGGCCAACAGTGGGTAGAGCTGTGCCTTTGCGGGGAGGAGGGGGATAGTTTCTGTTGGGGATAGGGGTACGAGGGATAAATGGCGTTGTAGAGAGGGTGCGAGTGCGGCTGGGAATGAACTAGGGTGCCGATTTTGTTACGCAGTATCCTGCTGATGGAGCTGACGGAGGGGACGTTGTATTTGTCGCAGACGCCGTCCGACAAAAGGCGGTCCCGGATTTCCCAGGCGAATATTCCGGGGTCTTTCTGTTTCAGTTCTTTGATGTAGGATACGACCTGCAAATAAAAAGCTTCGGTCAGTGGTGGAGAGAGATTTTTATTACCTGAAGAGGTCTTTTAATCGCCATTTTATGTTTACTAAGAATTTCGATTTGGACGTATGATTGGAACTTGGCACAACTATAATAATTTTCGAAATATTACGAAGAAGCAGAAAGCATTGCATGATTATATTTTCCATTCGACTCGTGCATGATATATTTCATTAATTTCGAGAAAGCTTAAGGTTAAGAGAATGGAAATATGAATGGAGTCTTAATTGTTAATGTGGTAGAAACTTAAACAGAAGTACAATCACAATTTACAACTACCAACAAATACTAAAAAATTAGTAAAAAATTAGCCTAAATTTTGCCTCATCCCATCTTTACATTGGTAATGATAAATTTGGTAATTCAGGGAAGCAAAAACATGAAAATAGCCTGATCCGAATTTATATACTGGGCATTTTTTTCGAAGGACATCTGCAACCGTGTATTGGTTGATGCCGGTGGTGATATTACTGCAATAAATCGTCATGGTGGCTGGAAATCAAATTTAGTAGCGAAAAATTCGGTTCAGTTCAGTATTGAACTCTGTTGAGAACAATAATGAAATAAATGTAAATATTCCTTCCACTTCCAGATCAGTGGGACCTGGTATAAACTTTTCAAACTGCACAATAATTAATTTTAATATTTTCAAGAAATCGGATCAATTACAATTATTATGTTCAATATTATTCATTTTAATACCCGGGGTAATACCATCTATTACAATATTGTCAATTTTTCTCAAAGAATACAAGTAATTACCGTTATTGTGTTCAATACAACTATAAATATAATATTTATAGTTCTTCATTATTTATCGGGTGTGGAAAAAATAGCGTATACAACTCTCGTGTAATAGTTATTACATGATCATTGCATAATATACTATTATTGAATCAACTTCGTCAGGATTTGATAAAATTTCCATCAGAATGATACATTTCCGTTCCCGCATGTCATTATATGTGTTTGAATTTTATAACATGGTTTGCCTTGATGTTGCTTTTTCTTTCTTCAGGTAGCTCAGTTGGAGAAGATATATATCGATCATATTTCAATGAGTACCCAAGAAAAGCAGTGAGAAACGTTCTATGCCATTGCGAACAGTAATGATTCAGGTAAAAGAAAAGTGAAAATAAATTATTTCTGGAAAATTCGAAAGTTAGTAGACCCAGGACAGAGATATTAACCTGCCTATGAACCTATGCGACTGTATTTCAAGCGGAAATGTACGCTACTGAATTGTGTGCGGAGAAATTGGAAGAATCAAACCTCATGCACAAGTCAATAAAAATATTCCCGTACAGTGAAGCGGCGTTGGAAGCTCTTGGCTCCTATCGAAAAACGTCTAAAGTGGTAACAAATGGCCAAAAACGACTCTCCTGGATAGAAAGACTTAACAGATTGTCTCTGGTCTGGATTATTGGCCATACTAGCCTGAAAGTCAATGAGGCTGCTGACTCTCTTGCAAAAGAGGGTGCTGCAAGCAGCTTCATCGGACCAGAATCTGTCATTGGCATCGCTTTAAGCTTTGACAAACAAAAATTGAAAACCTGAATGGCAAAAAGATTCATGGACTTCTGGCAAAAACTTCTTGGCTCACTCCCAGGCGTTTATACACCTTCGAAGCTTAATACCAAACAGTTGTTGCAATACAGTAGATATGAACTACGATCTCCCACAGGCCGTCTTACAGGTCACTATCATTTGAGTCATCATATGCAGAGACTCGGACTGACGGAAGACAGTGTGTGTCGCCTCTATTTGGAAAAATATGAAACAAACAGCCGAGCACATACTTTGTGCCTGTCCCGCTGAGGTGACCGAATCAGGCTTTAAGAGTTCGGCAGATCCGTACTCTTACCATCTGACCTGAAAGATCACTCAATATACAAACTAATCGGCTTCGTTAAGAAGCTGGGTTTATTTGGTTGAGTGTTAATAGGTGTGAGCCACAATAAACCCTTGCGGGTTACGGTGGAGGGTCGAATAGACCCACTCACTTTGGACCTAACCTAAGCTAACCTAACCTAGTAGGAAATAACTTTGTGTTTCAGCTTATAGATGATATGAAGGGAGTGAATATTTCAAATATTGTAACGATTCAGAGCCAATTAAAGATACTATAGGACGAAATACGTTTACCCTTGAACTTGCCAACTACACTTCAGTCTTGAGAATTCATAATATGACAAAAGCATTTTTGGAAATAAAACAGATGAAATTCATCAGGATTAGTAATCTTATATTATCCCCATGATTTTCCTGGGGTAGTTTCATTGCCAGCACTTTTTTTATCACAGAGCTCTGAAATGAACTGCGGTTGTGTATCACCCACTTTGACGGCACGTATCTTCTCAAAAATATCTATAGGCATCATATACGGAGATCTAGTGGGTTATTCTAACGGACCACCGCCCTACTTACCTGTTTGGATAATTGACAAGACCAAATAGTTTTCCAACTGATGTTACGTTTTATTGAGATGAAGTGGTTCTATAGTGACTACGTGACAATTATCCAAACGTGGTTCCTTCCCACTAAATTTCCCGATACGATGCCCTTAGATTTTTTGTGAGGGTTCTTGAAATCTAAATTTTACGTTACACAATCGTAGTCTATTTCAGAACTAATGAATAGAATTACAAGTGTTTGTAACGAAATTACCCTAGAAATATTCTGTCATGTAAGAAATGATTGTTGTAAGGATTTTATTTTCAGAAAGTGAATGGTGAACATTTTGAAAGTTTATTGAAATGAAGGTAATTGAGTTTTGATATATTTTTTTTATCTGATCAATACCGTAGATTGCTGAGGAGAGTGGTGTGATAGCTGCTACTTATAACTTTCCGGATTATTTTCAAGTTTTTAGTACATCATCTACACCATTATTATATATTTTTTTTAAATGAAACCGTTCAACATATTTTTTTACTTATTTTATTTTCAAGTTTCAAGTTTCTAATTTTGTTACTTAATTCTTCTCATTCTGTTTAATTCATTTAGTGCCTCAGTATTACAAGGTAATATGTAATCCGCCATTTTGCAGCTGCGAATATCTTGAATTTGCATATTTTTCAAAGTTTACTACTATTCTACTAGTCAAGCCTTGTCATTTGATGCCCACATTGAGGTAGTTGTGAAAAAATATGTAATTCGCCATTTTGTAGCTGCGGCTATTTTGAATTTGCATATTTTTTAGGTTTACTATTATTATACTAGTCAAGCACTGTCATTTGATACCCACACTGAGGTTGTGAAAAAATATGTAATCCGCCATGTTGTAGCTGCAGCCATCTTGGATTTACAATGATACATAATTTATTGAATTTTATTGTCATCAAAACTAAATGTGTACCAAATATCAGATCAATCTGTCAACAGAAAGGGGGCCAAACTTCAATTACTGAATTTGATTTGGCCCAAACAAATAAATAAACAAACAAACTAACAGGACAAGCTAAATAAAACTGTTTAAATCAACTACTATTATTCAGCAAATGACATATAATGAAATTCATGCCTCGAGCCACCAAGCGAGTAGTAAGATAGAGGAACTAGATAGAGGAACCCCTGGTGATGCTAGATACCAGACCGAACTGGAACCAACAGGTAGACAAAATAAAAATAAAGGTGACTGTAGCACCTAAGCTGGTCAGATGCACCTTCGTGACTAAACATGGTGAGTGAATATCCATAACATATGAATGGCCAAAGGTTAAACAAGATACCGTTATTAACAAACTAAAGCAGGGTATGGTGACTTGTTTGTTAAGCAATAATGGAAGTTATTGTTAAACAAGCAACTCTTTCAAGCGGTGGCGGTGTAGGTATCCAATCTTGCAATGCGCAAAAACTCAATATAAGGTATCAAGTGAATAACCGGATCCATAATCTCACTCATAGACAGCCAAGTGGCACTGATCTAGGATTGTTCCTGAACCAGTTTTAGGAGTACCAGAATCTGTGGTATGAAATAAGTATAAGGATTATAAAGACTATGTACTATAAAAACCCTCAATGGCTGATATGAGAAAATATTTCTAGATGAACTGTCTGAAATGAAAACTTAAGAACTGCTCCTACATAACGCGGTTGAGTGAAGAATAATTACGAAGGTTAGGTTAGGTTAGGTCCAAAGTGAGTGAGGCTATTCGACCCTACAATGCAACCTGCAAGGGTTCATATATATAGAATAAGATCTATGAACAGCGACAACCCATCACATTCCTAACAGCACTCTTACATAATTACAGATGCAAAACAAGTACATCTCAGGTTGATATCCAACAGGTGGCAAAACTATTAGGAACAGTAACCAAATATGTACTAGAAATTACAAGTAATTCAAAGACTCTCATATTGTGAAACGATGATTCGTTAAGATGCATATAAAAACATTAACATAGCTGTAAGAAGTAGTCATAGTCATTTCCTGATGAAGCTACCTTGATTAGCGAAACGCGCGTCTCGATGGAGTATTTCTATTCTGATATGGAAAAAGTATATTTTCATTGTTTTCAATAGATTCAAAACGTAAAACAGAGCTTGTGGGAGAAGGTATATGAAAGAGCAAGTTTTGAAAAACATCACGTCAGGTGATGGTTATGGAATAAAATTGCTTTTTGTAAATAATTAGTTTAATAGTCATGGTTTTCCAATCAAAATAAAATGAGATACCATGACAGAAATTAGTAATATGACAACTTAAAGAAAAAAGGGAAATCGGCTCTTTCAAAGTAACATGTGTATGAAAGAGCTGGGCATGTGATATGAAAGAGTCGGGTTCCTCTTTACAAAAAAACATATATAAATATTATCAAACTGTAAAATTGCTCATTTCTATGAAAATCAATTATTTATCAGTCTTAAATCACAATCCACTCGTTCATAACTATTCAATATCTTGTTTTGAAAGGCCCGTAAACCGCAACATCCAAATGTTGGAATCTATGGCTACAATGAGA